CTTATTTTTTGTTGATTGGTTTATATATTTTGATTTTAGCTGAATGACAAGAGAAAGGTGACGATTCAAGAATTCAGAGGTAAAACTTTGGTTTCGGTAAGGGAGTACTATAAGAAGGATGGAAAAGAACTTCCTACATCTAAGGGTAAAAATCCTCTACTTAGCTCTTATTTACTTGTTTGTTCCATGCTATCCGTCCTGGTTTTATGTCTTTTATTTCTGTATATATGTTAAAAAATTTCAAGAAATGCCCAGTTTTTGGGATTGAAAGAGATTGGATAGCTAACCAACAAATTCTTTTGTTTGCTATCATTATTTGTTTTCCTGCCAGACTCAAGAGTAGTAGTTTGTTGAACCATTTTAGGGAGAAATGTAAGCAGGATGAATCAGCAGTTTCCGGTGAATTTGATGCAAACTTGGTTATGCTTCATTTCTTTGTTAGAATAGAAGCTTTTCTAGTTGTACTAGTGACTCGTTTGAACTCACTCTAGGGAACAAGGTATATGTTCTTGAGTTATTTTACAGTCAATGAGATTTTCTGGTTTTTGCTTCTTTAAACTGGTAGCTGTGCTGTACACTTGATTGCTTTTTGCTGAAGCAGGGCATAAGCTTGCTGAGTTGTGGAGTGAGTAATGCCAGTTCTCCAATCTCCATGATGCTAATTGACTCCATTTTTGTTAGTTGACAAGAACTTTGTCACATGATCTACTCATCGTTTGATCTTACCTTTGTGGTTTCCAAGCTTTACAGTGGTGTCTCAGCCTTCATTTTCTTGATATTTCTATAATCTTTGGTACATTACTACATCTCATAAATGGGGCCTTGTAGTAATCTCTTAGGAACTGGACTCATACTATTATTTTGATGTTGTAAGAGTGTTTATTATCCTGTCATTGAATGTTATTTACGCATAAACTGATGTCATCTTAGCTTTTAGTCTCTGCCCTATTTTTGTGCTTCCTTTCTTTGTATGGTTCTTCTTTGGTAAACATCACCTTTTACTTATTGCAACACTTTTATATTGACTCTTCTAGTCTAACCCATTGAAGTTCCAAGGACTGAAGAGAATAATTTCTTTTTTTCTTCTCTTCCAGCATATTCCTTATGCTCTGTACCCTCATACTTAATTCTTTTGTTATATTGGTGCTGAAGTTGGAAGTTCTTGTCCTATGTTGGTCTGTCTTCCTATACGACCGTCTGAACATGTTTCTGTTTTGTTGTTCACATATAAATTAATCATCATAGAATGTCATTTTGAGAAAAGTAGTTTTTAATTTAAACTCTGGCGTTCAATTTCCAGGTATAAGCATGACAGAGGAACAGTGGTCAGCCTTTAGAAAGAACATACCCAACATAGAGAAAGCTATTGAGAAGATGAAGGCGAGGACTATGTGAAAGCACCGCCTACTAGAGGATTAAAACCTTTTTTTGAAGATGTTTTGGAATGTGTACACACGTGAACCTTTGGTTCTTTTCGGTGGCAAAAGTGGACACTACTCTTTGTCTAAAAATGTTTAGCATCGAAATGTTTAGTCCGTGACGATGCTTTTGGGCAAGGCTGGTAGGTTGTGATGTTTTGACGGAGGTGCTTCATGTATTTTGTTGTATAAAATGCTGGCCACCACCTAGCCCCTACCAAAAGAACCTATGTGATGTGAATCATCATGTGATTATTCCATCAATGCTGACATTTATTCCATTATCTAGAACTTGTGTGAATCCTTTGGCAGTGCCAGTGGAGATATCACCGTTAAGTCCTGCTTGGTTTGTTAAATCTTCTTAAGTAGTGCTTTTGAATCCACAACACACAGGCATAACAGGGAGATGCATTAGAACTTGTTTTTAATCAACTACTGGAACAAGTTTATGTACATGAGACATGAGTTATGATGATGAGCTACTAAACTGAGCTTCTTAAAAACCAAAGCCATAAAAGAGCCTACATTGCAGCAATATATTTTTCTAACTCAGGCATGAACGGTACTAGTACAATTTATGGAGCTTTATTATCAGTTGGTGCCTTGAATAGGGTTGGCTTCCAACCCACCACCCAAGAGTTGGAGTTCCTGGTCCGCCGCGGAGTGAGGCCGGAAGTGGTTGCCGCCATCCTCATCTTCTCAATCAAGGCTTCTGTATTGACTTGCTCAGACAAAATTTCTTCCAGTTGCTTGGTGTTGATCATCAATTTCACCCTCCAAACACCATTCTTCTGTGAAGGCAGGACTTCTAGAGCCGACCCGGTTGCTAAGTTGTCAACAAAATCTGCTGATGACATTTTGGGCGGCTCAATCTGTCTCATCCAATCAACCTCATCAGGCATCTTCATCCCTTGTTTATCCGCCCCAGACCCAGTGGCGGCACTAGACTTTTGCAGGTGGAGAAGATAGTAAAAGCCGTTGATCAAGCACTCATCCTTAGGCAGTGGCAAGGATGCATGCCCCCGCCTGAAAATGCCATACCCTGGATACCCTCTAACGATGTCTCCAACAAGTGTAGGACTCCTGAACTCGAGGATTTTCCCTTTATCCGTTAAAACCCGAATGGAGCCGCTGGTGAGGTCTACAGGCCCAGGAACACCCTTGAGAGAGCAATTCCCCATGAATGAAAATTAAGACGGCACAAGCCGATCTCTCAAGTTGAGTTGTATTTAAAAGAAGAAAAAAAAAAAAAGACAAACAAACAAACAAACAAGAGGAAAGTGATTGAGGGTGGAGGAGAAATGGTGGGAAAATGTCAGAACTCAGAAGAGACAATGAAGAGAGTAATGTTCAGATTCAAAATTTTTTTCTGATCGGCGCCATGTGAGTGAAGACCGTTGCAGAGAGAGTACTATTTGTATTTTAAATAAAAAAGAAGAGCAGGTAACGACATTTGGGAACAAATACGGTGCAGGGAATAGCTGTAGGTGACTTTGGGGGATATGGAACAGGCATATGCATGCATTTTCCTTTCCCTTTGTCCTGTGTTGGTTGGATTCCTATCTTCTGGGTCTGGGGATACAAATCCTTCCAAAATTTGGTTGTTATTAATTAGTATACGGTGGAGAAAGTACAACATTTGAATTTGAAATTGATTTTTCTACATTAAGTAGAATATGTCACGTTCTCAA